GGGCCCCCCCCCCCCGGGGGCCCCCCCGCCGGGCCCCCCCCCCCCGGGGGCCCCCCCTTCCGCTGCGTGATTCCGTCCTGTATCAAATAACAAATCTCCCAGCTCGTCAGCAGCAGCTCCTCCTCCTGCAGCAACCACCAACAGCAGCAGCAGCACAAGTAGTGGCGATATGGCACCACACAGCAGCAGCAGCAGAGCAGCCAGCAGCAGCAGAGCAGCAGCAGTGCGTCATCACCCAGCAGCAGCAGCAGCAGCAGCAGCAGCGAGAGCGAAACACCGCAGAGCTGTGTATCGCGTACCTCCAGTTTCGTGCGCGAGCGCAGCTTCAACAGATGGAGAGGAGGGGGCCCCCATTGTCTTTGGGGGCCCCCCGATCGTCCTGGGGGCCCCCCCCATCTTCTTGAGGGGGCCCCCACCCCCCTTTAGCGGGGCCTCCTGCAGCATGAGGGTCAGCTCCTCTGTCGTGCAGGGCCGCTGCAGCTTTGCTGCTGCAGCAGCCTCCAGCAGTTTGAGAGGATCTTGCTGCTGCAGCTGCTCTTGCTGGTGTTGTTTCTGCTTCTGTTTCTGCTGCTGCTGCTGCTGCTGCTGTTGCTGCTGCTGCTGCTGCTGCTTCGTCTCCTCAGCAACCGGGTGTTTGTGTCCGAGTTGCTGCAGCAAATCAAGAGGAAGCAGCGCAGCTCTCTGCATCTTTTGCTGCTTCTGCTGCTTCTGCTGCTGCGGCTCCAGCAGCTCATCTTTTATTCTTTCTTCACATCCCCCCCGCGTCTCGCTTGTTGTTGGCGTCACTGGGGGTACAGGTGCCAGCACTGCCCAGGGGCCCCCCGCCCTTGTGGTTGCTTTGGGGCCCCAGGGGCCCCAGGGGCCCCCCCCCGGCCACCCATCTCGCGATGAGGGGCCCCCCTGGGGGACCCCCATGCTAAGCAGAGACTGCAGGATGTCAGTATTCAAGCCCAAGTCAATCAGCCCCCCGCTGCTCCCCTTGGCGCCGTTGCGCGCCAGAGGCGAGGCCTGTTTGCTGCTGCTGCTGCTGCTGCTGCTGCTGCTGCTGCTGTTGCTATTGTTATTACTACTGCTATTGCTGCTGTTGTTGCTGCTGCTAGTACCACTGCTATTGCTGCTGCTGCTACTGCTGCTACTGCTGCTGCTGCTGCTCGAAGCACCAGCAGCAGCAGCAGCAGCAGAAGCAGCAGCAGCAGCAGCAGCAGGGCAACTCATCATCTCTCTAGGCAAGCTCGTCAACGGCTTTGGCCGCTTCTGCGACAAGAGGGTCTTTGCCACGTCCTCCGCCTGGCTGGATGAGGGGCCCCCATGGGGGCCC